GCCTTGATCATAGATACTTGCTAAAAAAAATTCACCAGTGCCTGCTTTCTTTTTAATTTTGACTGAATTGATTTTGTTTGTGCAAAACTTTTTAAATTTCATATAACAAAAATTATCCATTTTACTTCCCATGCTCTTCACTATCTCTTGTTTGGCCATAAATTCTTCTCTCATCCTAGATCAGACAGGTAAAATTTTCCATGCTCACCTAATTTGCTTATGATATTACCCTGTATGTCTAACTTATGTACCCATTGTATCTTTATCTTAGTATATGATGTGAGATTTTGGTCTCTGCCTAGTTTCTGCCTGATTGCTTTCCAGATTTCCCAGAATTTTTTTTGTCATATAGTGAGTTCTTGCCCCTGAAGCTTTCATCTTTGTGTTTATCAAACACTAAATTACTATGTTCATTTGTTACTATATGTTGTGTACCTAATCTATTCCCCTGATCCACCTCTCTATTTGTTGGATAGTATCACATTAGTTTTGATGATTATTGCTTTATAATGTAGTTTGAAATCTACTACTACTAGGCCTCCTTCCTTCACTTACCCCCCCCCAGCTGATTCCCTTAATATTCTTAAGTGTTTGTTATTTTTTTCTACCTCTAAAAGTAATTCCTTGGAAGTTTGGTTTTTACGTATCAAAACCATATTTCTGTTATAGAAAGAATTTGGTAGGATTCCTTCTTTACTTATTTTTTCAAATAGTTTACATTGTATTAGACGTAATTGTTTTTAAAATGTTTGGTAGAATTCATTTGTAAATCCATCTGGTCCTCAGCTTTTTTCCCCTTTATGAAGCTCACTTATATATTTAAGGGTTTTTTTTTTCCTTATGAAGCTCACTTTTTCAATTTCTTCTTGTAAGATAGAGTTATTTAAGTATTCTATTTCCTCTTCTGTTCATCTAAGCAGTTGATATTTTTGTAAATATTAATCAATTTCACTCAGATTGTCAATTTTATTAGCATATTATTGGGCAAGATAGCTCCTAATAATTTCTTTAATTTCATTTTCATTGGTGACACATTTACCCTTTTCATTTTTCATCCCAGTAATTTGGTTATCTCCTGTCTTTTCTTAAATCAAATTAACCAATGGTTTATCTAATAAATTTCCTCAAAAGTCCAGGTCCTAGTTTTATTAGTTCAATGTCATTTTTTTACTTTCATTTAATCTTTCTTTTGATTTTTCAGTATTTCTATTTTTGTACATTAATTGAGGATTTTAAATTTGTTCTTTGGCTAGTTTTTTTTTTTTAGTTGCACATCAATTCATTGATCTGTTCTTTCTCTTTGGCTGCATCCACAAATTTTAGTGTGTTATCCCATTGTTGCCATTATCTTTGATGAATTTTTATTGTTTCTATGATTTTTTAATCTACTTCTTTAGAATTAGATTTTTAGTTTCCCATTAATTTTTAATCTATGCATCTATGGTCCTTTATTAAATATAATTTTATTGCACTGTGTTTAGAAAAGATTGCATTTAATATTTCTACTTTTCTGCAATTGTTTATAAGATTTTTATACTCTAAGCATGGTGAGTTGCTGTGAAAGGGCCATGTACAACTGAGAAAAAGTATACTCCTTTCTATTCCTATTCAATTTTCTCCAGAGGTCTATCATATCTAACTTTTCTAAAATATTCATCTCTTTAACTTCTTTCTTATTTGTTTTATGATTAAATTTGTCTAGCTCTGAGAGGCGAAAATCAAGGTCCACCACTAGTATAGTTGTACTATCTATTTTCCTCAATAACTCAATTAACTTTTCCTTTAAGAATTTGGATGCTATACCATTTGGTGCCTCTGTTTAATATTAATATTATTTCATTGTCTGTGGTACCTTATGGCAAATATAGTTTCTCTGATTATCTCCATTAATTGGGTCTATTTTTGCTTTTACTTTGTCTAAGATTATGATTGGTAACCCTGCTTTTTTTTTTATAAGGTGAAGCATTATAGATTCTGTTCCAGCCCCTTATTTTAAATTGGTGTGTGTCTTTCTGTTTCAAATGTGTCTCTTATAAACAAAATATTGGTGGATTCTGGTTTTTATTCCATTCGGCTATCTGCTTCCATTTTATGGATAATCTCATCTCATTCAAATTCACAGTTTGATTAACTGTGTATTTCCTTCCATTTTATTTTCTTTCGTATATCCTTCTCTCTTTCTTTACTCTGTCCATCTTCAAAAGTCTGTTTTGCTTCTGACCAATGCCTCCCTTAATCTACATTCCCTCTTATCACTACTCCTTTTTTTTATCCCCATTGACTACTACTTCTCTTGGGTAATTATAAATTATTCATATAAAATTTTATACTCTACTGAGTGAAATATATATATATATATATATATGTATATATTGTGTGTGTGTGTGTGTGTGTGTGTATATATATTTCACTCTTTGAACCAATTTGTATGAGAGTGAGGTTAAAGCATTGCCACCCCCTCCCCCACCATTTTTCCCTCTGTAAAAACTCTTCCTTTTGTATCTCTTTTATGTGAGATAACTTTTCCCATTCTCCCTTTCCTTTTCCCCTCTTTCCTAGTGCACCCTTCTTTCTCAACCCCTTTTTTGGGAGATTATCCCAAAATAATCTACTCACACATGTGTCCCCGGTCTATGTAGGCTCCTTCTAACTGCCCTAATAAATCAAAAAGTTCTTCAGAATTATATGTACCACCTTCCCAGTTAGGAATGTAAACAGCTTAACTCTATTGATTCCCATATTATTTCCCTTTCATGTTTACTTTTTTTATGCTTCTTTTGTGTATCGTGTTTGAATGCCACATTTTCTGTTCATCTCTGGTCTTTTCATCAAGAATATTTGTAAGTTCTTTATTTCATTAAATATCCATTTTTTCCTCGTGAGGATTATACTCAGTTTTGCTGGGTAGGTAATTCTTGGTGGCAGTCCTAGCTCTTCTGCTTTCCTTTTTTTCCCCATTTGCCTAATCTACTTTTTAAGGACTCATTTTTATCAGTGAAGTTTGTACCTTTTTACCATTTGACCATTTCTGCTTTGTAAGGAGTTCTTTTCCTCAGTGAGGTTTTGTACCAAACATTTGCATTTGGCTAATTTTATTTTTAAGGTATTATTTTCTTCAGTATTTTTTGTCTCTCTATTATTTTTAACCAAGCTCTTAATTATCTTTTTTGTAATTTTCTTGTATCACTCTCATTTCCTCTTTCTATAATTTTTCTTCTTGAAAAGATCAAAATTTACATTATCTCCATTTTCTACTGCATTGATTTATATCATTGTTTCTATGATGTAATAGATTTTATGCTGTATTGATTTTTATAATTGAATCTGCATCTGCCTAAAGACAACTTTCTATTTTCTTAAGTTGAGCCCAGGGATCCAGATTTCTGTCTGTGTAAAAGTTATAATTAAAAGCTGCATCTCTTATACCAGGAGCCCCTAGAATACTTCCACAACATCTATTTGTTATCTTTAAGCCTTACAAGTTAACTTAATACCATCCCCAAAAGACATGTCATCAGTCTTTACCTGTCCTTGTGGCAATTAGGGGAGTTTTATCTCTACCAAGCAGACAGCAAGTCTTATAGTTTTGATCCCCTAGCAAAGATTACAAGGTGCAGATGAGCCCCATAAAAAATTAACCTTCCTTAATTGTCAGAGAGAGGTGTGATTAGCCTCACCTTAATGCCAGTCTACTTTTCTTGGTAGGGCCAATTGTAATGTCCCAAGCCTAGAAAGACCCTTTTCTATTGTGTGTCAATGAAGAGAGTCCCTTCCTTCTCACTGGGATTGCTGGCTTTACTAAGATTGTCAGTCTGACCTGCTCTGTTAATAGTTATAAGCTTCACTGTTAACTGATTTTGCTCAGAGTCTATGCCTCAGTATACCTTTGTTATATTTACTCAAGACATTCTATCACTCTTATTTGATTTTTAAAATGATTTTTGCTCTTTTTTTTTTTACTCTCTGTAGCTGCTCTTCCAGGAGTTCTTTTGGGCTTATATCCAATCTACATTTTTCCTTTGAGACTTTGCTTGCAGCTTTTTCACTTAATTGTCTTCCCCTGAGTTTCCATCTTGATCTTCCCTGTTACAGCAGCTTTTTAGGAAAGGTTCTCATTTTGTTGTTTGCTAATTTTCCCAGCCTATTTCTTGACTTTGAACTTTGTTTTAAAATTGGGTTCTGTTCACCTGGTGCTGTTCCAAGCTTTGGGGTTGGTTTGTTTGTTTGTTTTGCTTTTGTCTTCACAGCTGCTACTGGGGGTCTCAGATTTTCAGTGCTTCCAATATAGTGTGATTGGGGGTGAAGTGTGGTCTCTGCTATGCTGGTCTGCACTCTAGTCCTTACCCATGATGGATCCCTGTTCCCTTGCAACTACAAATGCTAGCACTCCTCTCTGCCCTGGGACCAGAACCCCTGGTCCATTATGACAAGCACTTCTGTGACCTAGAAATGCAACTTGGAACTGAGTAATTGGCAATAGACTTGCCAAATAGCACGCTATCCTGCACCCAGAGATGGTAGAGACATCCCCCATAAACTCTTTCCGACCAGTTGCTCAATCCACTTACTTTCTCTGGGCAGAGAACCCCTGAAGCTTCTACCCCTGCTGTTGCAGCTGCTTCCACGGCCCACCATCGGTATTGCTCACTCATGCACTCCAGGCCAGCACTCACCCCAATGTCACATACTTCTTCTTTCACTCCCCTAAGTTGTCTTGGGCTGGGAAAAAAAAGTGTCGCTTCTACCTTTTGATGCCTATGCTTTTCTCAAATTTGATTTGACTAATTATTCTAAAGTTGCTTTGAGGAAAATGTTGAGAAATTTCAATTGGAATGTTCCTTCTACTCTACCATCTTGGCTCCCCATCCTAATACCTTTTTACAACTGGAATTGAACATAGGATTTATTGCTACTTGGAACTTGAATTTCAGTCAATCACAATGTTTATTTCAGAATCACTGTTTATAAGAATCATAACAATGTTTTTTTTAAAATTTCAGACATTTGGAGCTTCTCTTGACTCATTTCATTTTATAGGAATGAGCCTCGGGGCTCATATAAGTGGATTTGTTGGACAAATGTTTAATGGCCAACTGGGAAGAATTACAGGTAAGAGATTTAAATGGAATTCATAATATAGGTCACCTTTATTGATCAGCACTTATTGTAATTAGTGTCCGTAAGAAGTATTATTAAACAAAGGAAATTGCAGTTTAATGCCTCAACCACTTTTCTATAAGTCGTTCAATTAGGATACAAAATTAAATATTATGCAGGTCTCGATTATTTTTATTTTCTATTTGCAGAGTTGGCCCATCAAACAAATATAGTGACATCAAAAATAGAAAGAGTAATATAGTTGTAAAGCTTCATATGTAAATGTTAAAACTGTACCTGTTTGGATAATAAGGAAACTAATTTAGACCTTTTTAATAAATACATTCTTCCCACTTGCAAGAAGTATTAGCAATGAAATTAATAAAACATAAAGAAGCTATTCGTACTCATTAGTATATTACTTGAATACTTGGAGAATCTATGATTTCATTGGCATTGAAAATATTCTATTACAGCAAGGACCTGCTATTTTATTGGTGTAGAGATTCCACTTACAACAATAACAACTTCCCTAGAAGAGCAGACTATTAGATAGTTGCCTGAAGCAGTATATTAGCCCCCACAAAAATCTTTCTCTGATCCTTTATCATCATTGGAAAGTTACCATAGTTCACAAATGTGTTAGTAGAGCAAAAGCTCAGCCAGGTTCTAGAAAACCAGAAAGACTTAGCACCATATAAATGTAAGCTATTATAAGCTTGGCAATAGATTGAGGGCATACTTGGCATGGTGACTCATGAAACAGGTTAAAAATATAAAATTGCCATTATTCCTATATGCCCTCCTTTCACTTCTGTAATGAAAGAAACAGAGACATGAAAGGTGAAAAGACAGTGCTAATAATCATAATTCATAGTCAGCAAACATTTAATTATTGGTATTTTTGATGTGAGATCTTTGACAATAGTGAAGGAATAGCTCTTAGGCCTTTCCCGATCTCTCTACCTTCTATTGCCCCTACTCTTGTATTCATTTTTATACAGTCTATATTTCCTTTATGGGTTCATGCTGTCTCCCACAATAAAAATATAAGCTCTTTCAGAATAAAAACTATTTTAATTTTGTCTTTATGTCTACACTGTCTAGTATACTTCTTGGCACATTAAGTAGCTGCTTAAGAAGTGCTTATTATTAGACTGATATAAATGTTTTCTTTTTTAAAATTAATTTATTTATTTTTGGTTTTCAACATTCACTTCCACAGACTTTTGAGTTTTAAATTTTCTCCCCTTCCCATCCTTCCTCCCTCCCCAACACAGCGTGCAATCTGATGTAGACTCTACATATACATTCTTATTAAACATATTTTCACATTAGTCATTTTGTAAAGAAGAATTAAAACCAATAGGAGGAACCACAAGAAAGAAGAAACAAAACAAAACAAGAAAAAAAGAGCAAATAGTATGTTTCTATCTGCATTCAGACTCCATAGTTCTTTCTCTGGATATGGATGCATTTTCCATCATGAGACTTTTGGAGACGTCTTAGACCCTTGCATTGCTGAGAAGAGCTAAGTCTATCAAAGTTAGTCATCACACAATGTGGCTATTACTGTGTACAATGTTCTCCTGGTTCTGCTCACTTCACTCAGCATCACTCCGAACAAGTCTTTCCAGGTTTTTTTGAAGTCTGCTTGCACATCATTTCTTGCAGCACAATAGCATTCCATTACATTCATATACCACAACTTGTTCCGCCATTCCCCAATTGATGGGCATCCCCTCAATTTCCAATTCTTTGCCACCACAAAAAGAGCTGCTATAAATATTTCTGTACATGTGGGTCTTTTCCCCATTTTTATGATCTCTTTGGGTGAGATACGGCCCTAGAAGTGGTATTGCTGGGTCAAAGGATATGAATATTTTTATAGCCCTTTGGGCATAGTTCCAAATTGCTCTCCAAAATGTTTGGATCAGTTCACAACTCCACCAACGATGCAGTAGTGTTCCAATTTTCCCACATCTTCTCCAACATTTATCATTTTCCTGGTTTGTCATGTTGGCCAAGCTAATAGGTGTGATGTTGATATCAATATTTTCACTACAAATGGAAACAGGAAACATAGGAAGTTACAACTAAATGGAACAGTTCATAGGTCCTCTTATAAAATTAGAGTGTTGGTTTCCATATATACCCTAATCCAAGAAGACACTTTTGTTGGATAAGTTTTATTGGGTTAGGTTCTTGTTAAGGTCGGACTAGATGATCTTTTAAGTTATCTTCTAATTCTGATATTTTGTGACCAGTTCTTTGAAATATATGTATATGTACATGTGTGTATAATAAATTTGCCAAGAAATCAGATATGGGGGCAGCTAGGTGGCACAGTGTATAGAGCACTGGCCCTGGATTCAGGAGGACCTGAGTTCAAATCCGGCCTCAGACACTTATAGCTGTGTGACTCTGAGCAAGTCACTTAACCACATGGCCTAGCCCTCCCCCCCAAAAAAAAACCATACATGGTTATTTATTCATCCCCCAAATTATTTTTCAAAAATGAAACCCTTCAAAATAAAAAATTAAACATTGTTCCAGTCAATCATACGTTATGTTATTAAACATGAAATACTGAGAAGAGTGGTAACAAATATTGATCAAAGAATTAAATTATCAATTTATTCCTTTCCCTTTAGAGCAATTTCTTAGTAAATATTTATCCAAATTTTAAAAATAGTATTATATAGCTATAGTAGTATAATTTGTCTTAATAGATAGGTCATTTTGGAATTAGAATGACTTGAGTTCAAGTGCTACTTCTGACAGCTACTAGCTTGTGAGACCTGGAGCAAATCACTAAATCTCTCAGTCCATCAGGCAAAACCTCTAAGTTTATAAATTACAGAAGAGTTTTGGACCTTCACCAGTGTTTAGAGACTGCATACCTGTCAAGCTCCCTACATTAACAAAATCACAACTGAATAATAAAAATAGTTCAGGTATATGTTTTGACTTGCTTGCAATTAAAATTGATAGCTACAAAAATTCTTTTTGATTTTCAGGTCTTGATCCTGCAGGTCCATTTTTTTCTGGGAAACCACCACATAAGAGATTAGATTATACTGATGCACAGTTTGTTGATGTCATCCATTCTGATAGCAATGGTAATATTTCATTGTATAATTTTTGCCTTCCCTATAGAAATGGAAGCAAAAGTAGAAACTCAAAATGCAAAAATGGAACATATACCTTGAGTGGGTTAAGTGGACATGATTCTGTGATTCTGTATAAATTAAATATACTTATTTTATAATATCATGAAATTTTTAGCTTAAAGCAGAGATTTTAATTAGGACTGAAAAAAGGATGACAATAACTCAGCAAGGGAGTTTAAAGTTTCTATATTCTTGTTGCTCAGCCCACATCTCAATATTTTGTTCAGTTCTAGATATCACATTTTAGGAAGGGCATTAATAGTCTGGAGAGTGTTCAGAAAAGGATGATAAAGACAGGGAAGGGCATAAAGATCATACCATACAAACATGAATTAAACAAAAAAGATATTACTTGGAAGAAAAGACAAAGGCAACAAAAGAATTATCTTACTGTATTCAAAGGCTGTCATGCAGAGGAGGGATTAGACTTCTCCCTAAAAGGCAGAATTAGAAACAATGAGTGGAAGTTTCAGAGAGGCAGATTTAGGCTTCACTTGAATCCATAGGGAGAAAGAGGGCTTCCCCTCACTGTATCTCTTCAAGCAAAGGTTAAATGACATAACTGGGTATATGGTATAAGGGATTCCTGCGATTCTGTTAACTAGGTAAAACTGTCCCTGATAAAATCATAAGGATTGGTCATGTCCTCTCTGAAGACTGTTTATGTGTTAGCATTACCTTGAATCATGATTGGAAATAAATATTGCTTATATCACATTAGAACAAATAGTGAAAATTATATAAAGAATTGAGAAATTTGGTTGATTATTAATTCTTAATTATTCATGCCATAAAAGTATCCTTTTTATGCAATTGAAGGTATTATGTAGAGCCTTTAATTTTTTTTTATTTCCTAATATCTTTTTCATAATTTTAAATGGATCAAATTTTTCTCTATGTGGTATGTCTGGTTTTTTCCTTTAAATTTTATGACAGTGCTTTTTCTTTAGCTCTTGGAATCAAGCAACCTTTGGGACACATAGATTTTTATCCAAATGGAGGAAAAACTCAACCTGGCTGCCCAAAATCAATATTTTCAGGTAAGTCATTGTCATTTTCCCTAACAAAATAATTTTATGTTTAAATTTAGATTAAAAGTGTAATTTGAAAATATGTCGCTAGTTTATCCTAGTAGATACCATTTTGCCCAAATTTTCAGAGAATATTTCAGATTTATAACAATTGGTTATGTTAGTAGTAAAACGGGGTCTCCCATCTCATGCTACACTTGTCTCCAGGCTGATACATTCTACTTAATGATGAATGTTCTCACACCTAGACACCAGACATACCCTACAACATCCTCATTCCCTATTACCAGATTCCTTAATCTCATCCCCTTAAAACTCCCACTCAAAAATTCCAACCAAGTCCTTCCAATATGCAGAAGGAATACCTGTGGAATACCTGTTTCAAAGATAACAAACTGTTTCATCCTAAATCTTTTCCTTCCTATTCTTTCCATGTTCGGTGGTTACTGAAACCTGGCTTGATCCTGATGACACAGATTCTCTAGATACCCTTGCTAGTACTAGCTATAACTTCCCTTATTTTCCTTGGCTCACTAATCAACATGGAGCACTTGAAATACTTTTTACTCCCCACTGTCACTGTCTCCCTAACTCTGTCACCCAGTAATCTCTCCTTTGAGGTTCATGCTCTTCATCTCTACCATCCAATCAAAATCATGGTAGCTGTTGTCTGTCAACCTTCAGGTCCCTCCCCATCCTTCCTCACCAAGTTTAGAACCTGGCTCACAGTTTTTCTCTCCTGCCCAACTCCTGCCACCATACTAGGGAACTTAAGCATGCATATTGATTTTCCCTCAAACTCCCTAACTACTCAGCTCCTCAACCTAATCATTTTCCACAAGCATCTCTTCCATCCCATATCACCTGCATACAAAGACGCTCATACCTTTGATCTTGACATGCTCACAAATACAACACCTCCATGTTCTAGAAGTTTGAAATCTCCTTAACTGACCATAATCTGTTGGCTTTCTACCTCTCCCTCTCTGCCTTCCCTTACCAAACCCTACTCTTCATTCACACTGTAACCTCAAATCCCTTGCCCTCTCAGTTTTCTCCCAGGCCATCTTTCCTGCACTAACCATTCTCTCCTCTTTTTCCTATATTGAACCCTTGGTGAACCAATTCAACTCTATAGGGTGTTCTAGTATTGAGACCATAGACCCCTTTTCATTTCACCAATTTCGCTCTGTCTAGCTTCACACTTGACTGACTCCTACCATTCATTTCCTTCACTCCTACTACTGAATAAAGATGGAAAATAATGACCTAACTATATTGATTGGGTCCATTACAAATTTATGTTACACAATGTCAACTGGGCCCTTACTGCTGCTATGCAATCCTATTATACCTTTCTTGTTGTTAAGTCATTTCAGTAGTTTCTGACTCTTCATGACCCCATTTGGGGTTTTCGTGGCAAAGTTGTTGGAGCGATTTTCTAGTTCTTTTTCCAATGCATTTTACAGAAGAAGAAACTGAGGCAAAAAGGGTTAAATGACTTGCCAAGGTTCACACAGCTAGTAAGTGACTGAGGCTGGATTTGAACTTAGGTCTTACTGACTGCAGGCCTGACACTCTATCCACTGTGCTCTAGTACCTCACTCTCCACAGTGACTCTTCCAAACCTTTCCATCCCTCTTCAAATTTCTTATGGTTTCCCTTACCCTATTCTACCCTCTAATCTGAGAACTTTGCCTCATATTTTACAGAAAGTATTTAAACCATTTGCTATGAGTTCCTCCCTCTTCCTCATCTCATACCACACATATAAATTCTGCCATTGTCTCCTCCTTCACCTCTGTCTCAAATGATGAGGGGGCCTTATGCCTTAGCAAAACTAATCCCTCTCTCTGCTTGCTCAAGCAGTCCTTTTCTCTCCCAAGTCTATCACTTATTTCCCCCCATCTATTAGTCTATGAATATGCTCATAGTTCCCTATCCTCAAAAATCCTTTGCTTTATCCTTCTATCCTTGCTAATTGTCATCCTTTCATCTTTTCTGCTTTTTTCATCTAAACTCCTTGAAAAAAGCTATCTTTGCTCTCTCTTCCTAACCCTTTACACAATCTGACTTGACTTCACCGTAATGTAATCTATGTGGTCCTCTGTAGATCAATGGTAAGTGATAATATTATAATGGAGTTTTTCCATAATAAAGTTACTTTTAGATATTTTGTATAAGGTCCCAGATAGGCTTTGTTTTTTTGGGGGAATCTATACTATAGTAAGAAATTTAATAATTAATTAATATTTAATAATACGATAAATGATTTAATGAGAAACCTCAAGTGTATTAGAAGTACACTGTGAGACTCTTCAAAATGGTGTGATACTTGAATTGGTACTGCACAAATAACAGTGCTCTACAAGTACTCAATAAATATTTATTAAACACTTAGTACTTAATAAATATTTATTGAATGAATGAGTTGAATATCAGAATGAACTAATAAGTTTAATATTAGAATGTGACCAATATCATCATCATAATATTAGTATAAATTTATTTGTGAATTCATGACTAACCAATATACAAATATGAATATTGTACATTATTCTGGTCCTAGTAGCTAGCACTAGTTAAATGTTTATTGAATTGAATGAATATGTCCCAACCAAACAATGACCTGTTCTCCCTGTTCGTGTATAGGATCATATTCACATTCAACACTCTCATTATCAAAATGTATTATTCCCTGTTACATTCTCAGTGCACTCCAGATCCAATGTGGTACAGGGGAAAGAGTGGAGGATTTAGAGTTAGAGACTATGAGTTCAAATCCTTCCTTTAATATTTACTCACAGATAAGTAACTTTAGGAAGTCACTTAGCCTTTCTAAGCTTTAGTTTCATTATTTATAAAATGAGAGGTTTCCATTTCTTAATCTGTGATATTGACAAAACAGCAGTTGGCTAATATGGCTGTGGTAGGGGGAAGAGAGGGAAAAATAACTCATTATAGTCTTATTATGTTGCCATATCATCATGGACTGGATGAATGACAATATGCCTGTAATGAGGCCTGATTTTGGAAGTGGGAAAGAATTATTGAGATATGTTCATGTTTTCCCATACACAAACACATTTATTCCTAGAAACAAGTTCCTAATACATTTATAAAAGCATATATAAACACTCAAATGTAGATGAACTCTAATATAATAGTTATACTACTATGATAGCGTTGTGGTTTTAGTTATAAAAAGCTTAAATGTATCTATAAACATTTGTAAAATGGAATACATTTGCCATATAAATTTTTCCAGTACTAATTGTGAATATTGTATTTTGCAGGAGGATTTCTTTGTAAATGATATTTCTTTATTTGCTTAAAATATTACGATCTTAATTATAGCCAACATTTGATTATTTATGAGGGATACAATTCAGAATCGATATTTTAATTTAACTAAATACTCATTTCACTATTTTTCTTTCCATTCAGGAGCTTCATTTATTAAATGTGATCACCAAAGAGCTGTTCACTTATTCATGACATCCTTGGAAGCAAAATGTGATTTAACTGCATATCCTTGCCATTCACACAAAGATTATAGGAATGGTAAATGTACCATTTGTGAAGGGTTTAAACCAACATCATGTCCCAAACTAGGTAAGCATCATTTCACACAAATATTGTACTTTGTGATAATAGTTCATTTGTGACAATATTTTCAACAAAAATGCAGATGTATTCAGTTTTTAGCTGGCAAAAATTATGTAAAAAATATTCTTGAGATCTTTTACATGACTATATTCTGATAAACATATCTTTAGAAACACTAAATCATATTTGGAAGGAGACAGGGTTTCTAGATCCAAATGGTACATATATCATTGCTATAGTAGATTCTCATGTGAAGGCAGTTAGTTGGCATAGTGGTTAGAATGCTGGGTCTGGAATCAGTAGGCCTGAGTTCAATCTGACAGCCACCTACCAGCTTCATGACCAAACAAGTCACTTGAGTCTGCCTCCGTTTCCTCAATTGCAAAATGGTTGCTGGGTAGTCATGAGAATCAAACGAGTATATATTTGCAAAGCATTTAACATACTGCCTGGCACTTAGGCACTTAACAGATGCAATTTTCTTGCATTCGTTTTCTGCTTAGATTAATTTTTTAAAAATTGTTTTTGCTATAATTGTTGCTACTGGAGCAGAGCAGCAGCTGTTCTTCTCCTGATGCGATGCAGAGCGATGTCAGCTTTGAAACCCAGCAAGCAAATCTTACCATTTACTGATTATTTATTTGCTCAGAGTATTAAAGGATTTCTTCAAAGTAAGAGCTCTGTGAATTTTTGTTTTACATGTGAATAACCAAGACACACTCTCTCCATAGTGTTCAATGGTCAGTTTCTTTATTCTTGACGCAGTGAATTATGTATGCCCTGCCCCTGTCAATGGCTAATTCACATCCTCTGGGAAGCTGTGTCTCCAAGTGTCAGGGAGAAGGAATTTTTCTTTTTGTACCCAGTTGGTATTTGTGTTCTGTGAGGAGCTAGAAGAAATTATATGCTCGTCTTTGAGTCATGATTGTTGTTTGCACGTGTGTGTTCATTATAAAGTTAACATTCACAGCTACAGGATTTCAGTAAGTATCATCTTGGTAATTTGGGTGCTTTTTCTTATGATGCAGAGTTTAACCATGCCTGCCAAATTGGTGCACCTTTGGTTTGTGTGCTCTTTTTAATTGGCCACAGGGAAATAAGCAATGTACTGGGCATCTTTTCTAATTCTCTTGACACTGCACGTTTACTAGGGGGCAGAAAGGCTATCCATTGCATCATCCCTCACTTGCCCATAATGATACGTTATGATGATATCTTTTAACCTATTTCTGCAGCGTTCATAAGTACAACAATCTAACCACAGATGGAATAAAACCTACAATTTAAATTCCTTGTATTTTTTACTAAAATAAAATAACCACACTATAACATACAATTTAATGAAATAAAAAGTAATTTGTTTGCTCTTTGACTCCTAAATTCACATCTACTTAAAAAGACTTGTTGGATTTACAAATATGTAATATATGTATGATTATTTATATTACATAAACATATGCGTGCACATAAATACAATTGTTTAACACATTCTTTTAAAAGTCTTCAATGTTTTCTCTTAATCATGCCTTTTATGGCCCTGTAATATTCCATCATATTAATACAGGAGTATAGGGATTAGATCTGTGATTTTATTTTGATTTCTCTTAGGTGAGGAAACTCTTTTTACCAATGCAGCTTGGTACCCTCTCTGCAGTTTATAATTTTAGCATTTTCTAAAGCACAGAGAGGTTAAGTGACTTGCAGTTAAATCACTAGTTACATAGCCCGTATGTACCAGAGGCAAGACTTGAACACAAGGATTACAGCACAAGCTTTGAAACCAGCTCTCTATCCTCTAAATCATGTTTGCCTTTATAATAACATACCATAATCTACAAGAAAAGTAACTATAGATATTTTTGTATGGTTAGATACTCCTCCCCACTCCAATATCCCAGGATAATCGCAACAGTAAAATCACTAAATCAAAGAATATGACTAGTTTTGTCTATTGATTATTCTCTAAAAATTTAGGATTGTCTACAATCCCATCAGCAATGTAATTGAATGCCAGTTTCCACAAACATTAAATTCCATATTTTCTTTTATTGTAAGGTAATTTTAAAAGTATTTAAAATATTTTAACTTGGTAATCATCATCAAAAGCAAATATTCAAATAAATATTTTTAAAATATTATACATAAAGCCAAACACTCTAAATTAACTATAGTGCCTTTAAAAGTGCATATTAAGTAACAAAAGGTCCTGTTTCCATTTTCCCTTCTGATCTTTTTTTCTGTATTTTTAATTTTGACTTTAATTTTGAATACTTGTAGTTACTTACATTGTTCTGATTCTTTTCTTTTCCGTAGAATAGAAGCTCTCTGACAACAGGGATAGTTTCTTTTTTATTTTTATATACAAATGTGATGAGGCTTTACAAATAGTTGAGGACAGAAGGAAAGCAAAAGATAAAGCAGAAAGTGAAAGATATACCCAACTGAATGCAGAATTCCAGAGAATAGCAAGGAGAGACAAGAAAGTAAATGAACAGTGTAAAGAAATAGGAAAAAAAAAAGCAATACAATGGGAAAGACTAGAGATCCCTTCAAGATAATTGAGAGAGCTATAAGGGAAAGTTTCGTGAAAAAAATGGGCATGATACAAATCTCTGGCGTTTGCTTGAGGCTATAATCCCATACCTCCCTATGGCCCCAGGCCACTTCCCTCCTCCGTTCTCCTTTGGCCAGGGGTCCAAGGCATTCTATTACCTCATAGACTACTTGGCCACTCCTAGATACCTCTCATAGTCTTTCTGCATATAAGGTCATCTTGTCTCCATTAAGGTGCTTAGATTCTTATAATCTAGCCACTAGCTCACTAATGTTCAGACTTCTTAAGAGTCTGCCCATATTGGGTGTTCTAATAAACCTTGTCTTTTGCTGAAAAAAAAAATGGACATGATAAAAGACAAAAGTGGTAGGAGCTTAACAGAAGCAGAAGAAATTAAGAAGAGGTAGCAAGAATACACAAAAGAATGATGCAAGAAAGATCTTAATATCACCCATAACCACAATGATGTGGTTACTGATCTGGAGCCTGACACTGGGGAGAATGAAATCAAGGTGGCCTCAGGAAGCATTTTGCTAACAATAATGCTAGCAGAGGTGAGGAAATTATAGCTGAGCTATTTAAAATCCTAAAAGATGATGTTGTTAAAGTACTGCACTAAGTATGGCAGCAAATTTGGAAAACTAAACAGTGATTGGAAAAACTAAACTGGACTGGAAAATATCAGTTCTACAGAAGGGCAATACCAAAGTATGTTCAAATTACTGAACAACTACCCTCATTTCACACACCAAGAAGTTTATGCTTAAGATTCCGCAAGCTAAGCTTCAGAGACATATGAACCAAGAATTATGAGAAGAGCAGGCTGGTTTTTGAAAAGGCAGAAGAACTAGAAACTCTGAATTGTGGGGAAAGCAAAGGAGTTTCAAGGGGAAAAAAATCTACCTCTGCTTCATTGACTACACTAAAGCCTTTAACTATGTGGATCACAACAAAATGTGGCAAGTCCTCAAAGAGATGAGAATACCAGATTATCTTACTTGTCTCCTGAGGAACCTGTATGAGGGCCAAGAAGCAGAAGTCAAAACTAAACATGGAATGATTGATTGGTTTAACATTGGAAAAGAAGTAGGACAAGATTGTATACTGTCACCATATTTATTTAACTTGTATACAGAGTACATAATGCAAAATGCCAGCCTGGACAAATCAAAAGCCAGAATTTAGGTTGCCAGGAGAAATATCAGCAATCTCAGATATACTCTCTGAAAGAAAATGAAGAGGAATTAAGAAGCCTCTTGGGGAGGGTGAAAAAGGAGAGTGTAAAAGTTGGCTTGAAGCTTAACATCAAAAAATTAAGATCTTGCAAATGATCTCATCACTTTCTAGCAAATGGAGAAGAAATGGATGCAATGTCAAATTTTATATTCTTGGGCTCAGCCATCATTGCAGGTAGTGCCTCTAGCCATAAAATTAAAAGATACTTGCTCCTTGGAAGGAAAGCTATAGAAAATCTGGACAACATACTAAAAAGCAGGGACATCCTCTTGTCAATAAGGATCTGTATAGTTGGAGTTATGGTTTTCCCAGCAATATGTGACTGTGAGAGTTGGACTATAAGAAAAGCTGAGTACCAAATGATCAATGCTTTTGAATTGTGGTGCTGAAGAAGACTTTTGAGGGTCCCTTGGAACAGTAAGGAGATTGAATCATTCCATACTTACAGAAATTAATTCAGGTTATTCACTAAAAGGTCAAAATGGAAAAGACCCTGATGTTGGAAAAGACTGAAGGCAAGAGGAAAAGAGGACAGCAGAGAATGAGTTGGATAGATAGTGTTATGGAAACAACAAACATGAATTTGGACAGATTTCAAGAGATAGTGGAGGATAGATGGGCTTGGAATACTATGGTCCATGGGGTCACGAAGAGTTGGACCCGAACAACTGAAAAACAGCAATATCCAAGTACTTAGAAAAATGCTTACAGATAATAAGAGTTTAACAAATATTCATGGATTGATTCATTTGCTTTGCATAATTCCTTTGTGCCTTTTATATTTATTTGTATTCCTCATATTTATTATTTGTTTCTTATAAATTAATGAATGAAAAAGTATTCTTCAAATATTTCCTGAACCCTACAGGTAGAAATAGAAAAGTAAACCATTACTTCTTCTCAAGGAACTCACATTTTAACATGAGGAGCCAACATATATTAAAAAGTTTCAATTGCAAGTCATATGGAAAGGTCCTTTGGTCTTTATGGTACAGCAATTAAGCATATGGTAGTGCATCTTCTTTAACATCATTTCTATTGATAATGATGTGGAAACATTTTTTAAATTAATGAGCATTTATTAAAGGCCTCTGTATGAGGCCCTGGCCTAGATGTTATAAAAGGAAAAAATCTGCAACAGCAGCCTGACCTCAAGTAGCTTGCAATCCCTTATGGAGTCTCTGCTTCCTAACAACTGATCACTGTTAACAAAAAA